AGCAAAAGTCTTTTATTAAAAACCACAGCACGCAGATCCTTTGGCCCATAAAGGCATACATGAAAGGACATAAATACATTTACAACACGCTTACGCAATTACCAAGAGTTTTCATCATCACAGACAGCTTCAGGTTTCTAGCAGTTTATTTCCTATTTAAATGCTGAGCAATTAAACGTTGTGCCACAGCCCACCCCTAAAATGGTCAAGTTATGTGGCTGCAAAAAAAAAATGTGCAACTTCATTCACTTGTTTACAACATACTCAGCACAGCACCCCACGCTAATTCTGTTTCATAAAGGCACACTTAGTAGCATCCTTCAGCTTCAGATGGGCTCCGAGTAACAGACTGACGGACTGATCCGTATCCAAGTTTTGCCAAGCATTTCCTATATATAGTCTATAACAGAAAGTCATAACCAGCACACTATGTTGGCATAAAGTAGCTCCAGTTCCAAAGTAAATGCACATCTCACACAAGTACATAAATAAAATATATAGTAGTGTAGGTGTGGGCAGTTTGTCAAGCACACAGCAATGCCAAAACCATATTTCAACTCTGATGCTAGAGCTGAGCAGAAACAAAGAGAAATGCAACTCCTGATCCCCTTCCCATGCTGCTGGGCTTTTAGTTAAATCTGCAAAGCCAACACCTTGGTCCCCAAAACATGAGCGCTAACTAACAGATAGGAAATACAAATTGAAATGCTCAAAAAGGAGGCATCTCAACGACAGAAAATGTAACGTTTGTCAAAAGTACAACACAGAAGCTGTATTCAAGCAAACTTCACATGAACAAGGCTAGACATTCAGAAAAGAAAGTATTCAGTAATGGGAATAGTAATTTCTAGGTTGGGTTTGGTTTTTTTTTAAAGTCTTGAACTGACTATAGGAATTCTTGAAAGCTTGAGGGGTTTTTTTTAAGTGGAAATGTTAGTTTGTTTAATTAATGTTTTAGCTACTTGTTTTTACACACTAAAGTAATTAAGTCACGTTGCACATAACTTAAAAAAAATCACTGGAAAATAAAATCAACTTTCCAGCTGAGTTTATGCCATTGTCAAGTCTATATATTTCAGTATCAAGTCTTAGATATGACCATGGATAGAGCATGTTGTTAACAACTAATGTATCTACTAGTTCTGGTAAAATGCTAAACACCTGATTTAAATATTTTTTTTTAAAAAATCTGTAAATAATAACAAACAGCTCAATAGTGTTACAGATCAACTCAATGGTAGTCCTGAATGGATGCCAACATAAGCTTACAGACTTGACAGAGTTGCCTAACTCAGAGTGAGTAACATACTGGCATCTAGAAAAGCTGGTATTTTTTTCCCCATGCTAACAATAATACTAACAATGCAAAGTATTTATGAAGAGAAAACTTGGAAACCAGCAGAAACACCATATAAAAAAAATAAAAGCCCAACATATCAGTGACCTATTGCCACTAAGAATGGCTACAAAAAAAAAGAAAATAAATCTGTTCTTGGATAATTTTCTTTTCACTAAGGCCCACGACAAAAGTTTCCACTCTAATACAGCTGCTACAAAGACCGAAACCCACTTATTTCTCAGCAGCACTTAAACATCCTCCCAAACGCTGGACCCACTGAAGTCGGACTCCTCGCCCTGACTTTCAAGAGAGACAAAGATTACAGCATGGTTTTCAAGTATAAAAAACATATACTACACTTCTGAGATGATGTCAGCAAACACAGAGCCTGGTCCTGTGAAGGTATGAAAGACAGCTTTTAGTTATTAATTTGAAATATTCAATTCATATGTCGTACAAAATGTGTTTTATATTTTGCTTCAGAAAGAATGGGCTCAAAAAGTCAACTTTTAGTGACTCACTCATGCAACACAGATGATTCTTGTTTACTCAAAATAACGTTAATAAGTCTTTCACATGCAAATTCTTTCTAGTAAAATATATAAAAATAATTCCGTACTAGTTAGTGTTTTTCTGGGTTTTTCCACACAACATGTGGGATGTCTGCTCTCTCCCAAATGATTCAGTCTGCTTTTACAATACCGAAAGAGTCTAAAAACTTCAGCTTTTACTTTTGTGGAATTTCTTAGTGAACTGGGACTGAAATCTAAGTGCCACGTTTGTGGTAAGGGGGCATCTACTAAGAGAATGAAAACCCCTTACCAAAGGACAAGAATCTGTCGAGCCTTCCACGCTGATTTCTTTTGCAACTAGAGCAAAACACGGGTAACCCGGAACAGAAAAGGGTCTGATGAAGTTGTGTCAGACCAAGACCCAGGTACCAAGTGTGTAAGAGTGGGCACCAAAATTTCTGAGCTTCATCTTGCAAGTGCACCCAGGCAGGCAACGGGATGTGCTGCTGTCAAGATCTGTTGTGTTGGGTACTTCAGGGCGCACGCTACTCCTGACACTTGTGCAAGAAACTCTCTGAGAGGATTTCTTAACTATTAACTATTTGTATGCATAATGTTTTCCACGGGGTCAAATATCAGATGGAGATCCAGCATTTCTCCACCATTAATTTTGCTAGCAATGAAAACCACTTTTTTGGGGGGGGTGAGGATGGGTGTTGTGGGCAGGGACACTCAAAGTCAACAAGGTAAACAACTTCCATGAACACAGTTACTGGTAGAAATGGATAAACAGTACATTCTTAGTAGCTGGAGACATGCAGCAGAGTTCTGGCCTGCACCACAGATCCCAGTACTTTAAATAATGGCTTGTACACCAGTTCAAGCACTGCTTGATATGCAACTCTTATGGACATTACAGTACCTCTTTAAACAAATTTAAAATGACACTTAACTACCTTATTTTTTCTATACATAATACATTTTCAATAATTATAAATAAATACTCACATTACAAGCATTTAATCACATATATACACACAATACTAGTGAAACGCAAATGGTAGAGAGATTTTTTTGAAAATGCTAAAACCAATTTAAATTTCCTGTATTCTTGTTAAATTCTTGTTTTGGAATAGTATACTTTGTTGAAAAGCACGTCTGCCTATCTGTCAACACATAAGCATGCATTAGAATAGGCACATGCTAAAATAATTTTTTTCAGTATCTTAATTTAACTCTGTTTTAGAAGGAAGTCAAGGATTTGTTCAAATTTTCTAAATAAAGAATTATCAGCCTCTGCAGAAGACTTTTCTTAATCCTCAACAATTTAATCAAAACAAGAGAAGGATAACAAAAACCCCATACTTGATTCCTTTGGCATGAATTGCTAATTGAAGAAGCAAAAATACAGAGATATCAGCACACTTTTTTATTTTTGCAATTGTCTCTTCCTGCAGGTGGGAACTGACCTCTCACTGACCTAGGGAGAGGAGGAAATGAAGTTGTATGAAAGTGCAGTGTGCAACAAACAGTAAAACTGATAATTAAGAATGCCCTTCAGGCATAAAATTAAAAACTCTGCTTATACTGAAAGATCCACAACTAACAAAGGTTACTGGAAGTCAGCAGCTCTGAACTAGTACTGGGGAAAAAAAAGTATTTCTGTGCATTAGAGCACCTGACATTCAAAAATGTTTGAATTACAGGCTTACCTAAAGGTCTCAGGATAAATAACATGGTGAAATCATGTGAGTGATCCGTTCTACAGTCAAGAATGTTTACTGCTCAGTACTGCCTCTGATGCCAGCAAACTCTGTCAGTACTAGAATTATTTGTGGTGTAGACAGTACTAAGGAAAATAATCCCATTTACTGACATATCACTTGACCAATTAACTTAGACCTCCTGTAAAATTATTTTTAGTTCCCCTATAAGGTGCTATTGGAGAGAAGGAGGGAATCCATACAGTCTGTCTTCGGGCATCTAAACGTGGCTGTTGAGAGATTTGTCTCCTTGGATTGCAATGCTCTCCCAAAAAGAGAGACAAGGTTCTCTTCAAACAGGAATTTGGGGTGTGGGTGTTTGTAACCTATTTCTCTTGACTAGACACAGAGTTTACTTTCTTCACTGAGGTATGCACATTAGGGCAATCTTGTTTGACCTCCAAATAGCTTCCACTGATGTAATCCTTGTAACTTACATTTCACACAAGTCATCCAGAACAATATTCAACTGAAGCCTACAACGTCTGACCTTGTAGTAGTCAGTGAGATTGCCTACTTTCAGGAGAGGAAATGTATATTTCTTCGTACACTGTGTTTGGAGATCAGCTAAGAACAACACCTATGCCTAACAACTGAAGGCTAGCTTTGTAGCATAACTATTTGCCCCCAAAATAAGATAATATACTCTATACCTGTTAAATACCATAACTGATCCACGCTCCTAAACATACTTACTCTGTAGCTGCCAGGTAATTTATGTACATCATGTCTTTAAAACAACAAAAAGCTTAGAGACAAGTTACACAGGTCTAACAATTCCACTCTTGTAAATCAGGGCACTCACTGGAAAACAGGCTCTCCCTCCCCTAATGTGAAAATCCTAGGTAAAACTCTTCCCTTTACTTGACTGCTGGGGTCAACAACCAGCCACCTGCTCCCACGGGCAATAGGAACTGATTTGCAGCCCCACTAGAATCTTCAGACCTTGCCAAACTGATGCCTGTTCCTTGCCAGGAAATAAACAGAAGACGCTTGTTCCACAATCTTTTAGATAGCATAAAGGCCTGTCATGATCTTTAGCAAATAAACCTCAGAATCTGTTAAAAATCTTCCAGCAACTTTTTGTCCAAGTTATTTCCCCCCAATTTTCTGTACTATCTGGATTTTGCAACCTATTATTTGCCTTCAATCCTGTCATATGAGCCTTTCCACGCTTTTTGTCATCCATTTCATTTTTCTAAACACCTCTACACCATGCCACATCAGTAGCTCTTAGGAGTTTCAGGGTTTCGTTGATCGCGACATAACGAATCGTGCAAAATCTTTTGAGTAATTTTTAAGCCCTAGCTACTGGGATTCTCCCCACGTAACAGTAACCAAGCTCAGAGAGTCCATCAGCATTCTGCCTTTTCCTTCCTCTGGCTTTCAGGGGATACCATCCTTCCTTTGGCAACACTGCGAAGGAGGCACTCCCCAGTCATACATGTAGGAAAGCCTGAGCTTCACCTCCTCCTTACAGAGCTTTCCTTCTTTAGCCAGGGTCTGGTGCTTCTCCAGCATATCCTCGATGCTCTGCTTATGAGTTACTATGTACTTATTGTTGCAACCTCGTGACTTATACTCGGTGTCAAAACGCGGGTCGTGCACTCTCTTCACATCGATGGGAGCCAGCCACACCCCCAGGGAGACATCTTCGCTCTGCCACATGTTCAGGTAGTCTCTGCTGAGACGCAAATAACGCACCAGATCTGCGGAAATCACATATCCACCACCCAAAGCGTACGGCAGATAGTAGTCACAGAGCACCCAGGCGCTCTCTTTCCATTTGCCACCAGATTTCACCCGACCGCGGCCGGAGAAGAAGCCCCAGTAGAGGCGACGTGGCTCCTTGGCTCGAAGCTCTTCCACCAGCACATCCAAGCGTACAAAGGTGTCGTCATCAGCCTTCAGGGCGAACTGGAAGTCCAGGTGCAGATCCAGCCAGACGTAGGTGGCCAGCACTTTGGCCGTCAGGTTCTCGTAGGAATCCCGCAGCTCTGGCAGGAGGAGGAGGTCCCGGTGCCGGCTCTGCTCCAGCTCCAGGCTGTGCAGCTCCTCGGCCCCGAGC